TTTTTTTTTTCATTACTCTGCCTTTAAAGATTTTCTCCTTTTTTTTTAAGAAGATAGAATCTAATAGCTAATAAATAATAAATCAACAAGTAAATTCGAAATTCCGTCGTATTCAAATATTCAAACTTAATAGAGCAAATAGTAGGCAATAGTAGAGCAAGCAATTTTGGAAAACTGATTCAAAAATTGTGGTATGAAAGGAAATCTCAAATCATGGATAAACCTGGAAGTATATATAAATTTTTAACTTTTGAAAATTTAATTGATAATTGCGATTGCAATATGTTTACGAGTACCTGGCGTGAACAAGGGACAACAAAAACGTATCCATAAAATATTTGAAATAACGAACTGCCGATAGTTACTGCGACTACCGTTCGAAACAGTCGGCGTTGCGATCGTTCAGAAAAGAGAGAGAGAGAGAAAGAGAGACAGACAGACAACTGAGAAATCAAAATGGCGTCGCGTGCACGGTGCCGATAATTTACGTTAGAATGTTCGTTATTATTTTTTGTGCAGGATACAATTAAAACGGGAGCAATGTTCCCTGTTTAGACTGTGCAAGGCTCAACGGAATCTCGTGTAAAGTGTCGTAGAGCAACATCACTCGCGTGGCGCTCTGATTTTCGGCGTAACTCGCGCGACAACGATCGTGCGAGACAACCAAGGGGAAAAAGTACTGTTTTGCGTATGGCTTTCAAACCGGATGAACAGTTTTGCTTCGCCGATAACCTTGTTCTTGGTGGTGAACGTCACTGACATGGCGAACGACGCGTGTTTCATTTTCGTGGATCGTGAAACCACGGTGAACTATGTGCTTTGACGTACACGGGTGAGATCCAGTTTCGTTGAAAGACTTGCAAAGGTGTGGAGACGACGTGTTTGTTAGCCACCATGGCGGTGAATCCGCATGATATGGACGGTTTTATGCCGCTCCTGTCAACGACGGACATCAAGAAAAAGTTAAACGTTGGTAGTTTACTGTTGAATTATTTGGGAGATGCGACGAAGAGTATCGAGTGTCAAGACATCGGACAGTTTATCGACAACATCATACCGTGGTTAAGCAACGGCAACCCCAAGGTAACGAATGGAGCCCCTTTGTAATCTTTCCCTTTACGCGTTAATATTATTCAAACATCCCTATAGGTAGTTGATTTATTAAAACGAAAAGAAAAAAAGATAAAAAGAAATTGACGATTCTTTCGTCGTACCTTAACTCTAAATACAGAGTGAATGAATCAGCGAGTGACCATCGTCATCGGAGTTTGTTGTCAAATAATACATTTCCGTACGTTCAAACTTCTTTACTGTTCTTTTCAACGTTGATAATGAATGTCTATCATTTGTTACAAAACTATGTTTGTAAACAAAACCATGCAAGAGATCTGCTAGCTTTTTAACGTTTGCTCTCTGGAGTAACTCATTCATGTCATTTTAGTATTTATGTTGTGCAGAATCTCCCCACAGTGCACAGAACGGAACGTAATAAAAAACAAGGAAATTTTTCTTAATGAAAAATGTTACTTGAAGGAATCAGCGGGCTGATTGCCGGGTGATAAAACGGCTAGATTGTATGCGTACAGACAGAGGTGCTCATTTATTGAATTTATATCTACGTGTCAGAATGTATGTACAAACTATTAACTACTAACTATTAACTAAAAAACATAAACGGTTTGTAGAACTGTAATCATCGCTGAACTAAGTAAGAAGTAAGTTGCAATCAGCGAGAATGATGCGTGATCAATGACATTTCGAATTCGCCCTCGGGCCAAACAGATATACGTGTTTACGTATATTTTATTTTGGTCGACCTATATTTTCTGCGTGCACTCAAAACTTTCTACGCTCGATACTCGGGAATGGACGTGCTACTGGCGACAGCAACGTGATTTGTAAATCAAATTTGAATCTACCTTTGGCTAAACGTGAGAGAGAAGGAAAGAATTTTTCGCGGTCTTCAAGTATGATGGAAGAGGACAAGTGTTGCATGAGACTTGCTTTAGACAAGGACCTTACGAAACGTTAGCCCGTGCGAGCTTTTAGTTGCTTAATCTTCTAATGAGAGATTGAGATTTACCAGCGTTATCAACATCAACTTTTATCCTTCGTACCTTCGTTAAGTAATCTTCACCTGGCAGAACTTGTTGTGTTGTGTCAATCCTCCTTAGTTAAAATGTGATAGAAAACTGACAACAATCGATAGTAACGGTAATTATGTTCTAAATTTGATTATTTTGCATTCGACTGTAAATTCCCTACCTGAACTATCTAATCTTAAATTTATGATATTTGCATAAGAGAGATTACGTATCATTTCAAGTCATATCTTTTTTTATATTAAGAATTATTACAGTGGCACATTCTCAGTTTCAGTGTTATTCGTATTTTAGCCAGTTATACCTAATTATAATAATTGTTTGCAACGCGGGATTTAAATGAAAACGATTACTTACGACGAGATTGGTTTCTCGATAAGATACTACAAAACTTGAGCTGGTTCTACATCAGAAACGTATAAGGGAAAAACTTTCACACCATGTACGTAAAGTGTCCTTTGGTACAGTGTGTCACGAAGTATGTTGCTGAACGATCGGCGTTTAATCAAAGCTATCGAATTCACAATCGATCGAATGTTCATTGGCAATTAGATAAAGAAAGAATTGTACACGGGAACATCTGAAAGGAAGAACACGAACGAACCGACACACGGGAGTCCATGGAAACCTAGAGAGTCGTAAACAGTTTCGTCGGATCCACTTGTACGTGAGTACAATCGTTCCCTAATAAAGACAATCAGGCCAGAATATTCTCGACGGCTAACTCGTCAAGTGTTTAATCATCTTTGTTGTTCTTCAACCAAGATGCGATAGAAGACGTACTGGACATACTGGCTACAGTTATTTGAATACCTGATACAATTCGATCAGATGATTCATATTTTTATTTATTTTGCATCTTTTCTCTCTTGAAAAAGAATTCTTTTTGAATTTAAACTGGACGCGGATAATGGAACATATTTAAAGTTGTTCAATTCAAGAGACAATTTTTATTCATTTCCAATTGTTTTTTTTTTATTTCTACTAATTAATACTACTTATTATTTTTACTTACATTTATTTATTGTATTGTACAGTTGCCTGAGACAAGGTAAAAGACCAGAGTTGTATATTTTATGTATTCTTGTAATCTTCCGGACTTGTAATCTTCCGGAAGTGTCTAAATGTTTATTGATGGCAGTGTATATGTATTTCTATTTACTATGGAAGTACGTAGTCATTGAATAAGAACGACACGAACAGAGGTTATGTATGAGGTAATTAACTGCAAGAATTTGTGTGCTATACGAGTATTTTTTTTTTTTTTTTTTTTTTTCATTAACAGGCACTTGAGGGAAAGTTGTGAAGTTAAATTCCTCAATTCTTTCTTACCACTTCCGGGCGAGTTTCTACGAACGGATTTATCTCGTGAGAGAATCAAAAGGGAAACGAACCTGTAGAACAGTTGCTCTTGAAGAAAACACACGCGTTGACTCGCTGGTCAAAAGTTGGATATTTGAGTTGGTCAAGTGTATATTGAAAAATTGACACTAGCCAAATTTCACTAGGCCAATAAGATTACGTCATCCTGTTCCGAGACTGGAAAGAACAAGGAAAACATGCCCTTCGAAGGTGATAAAGAACGTGCAAACTTCGACCAAATCGTCGTTTGCGGTTAAAATTCAGCATCGTACATAATGTATGAGCTACCAATCTCTCCCTGTATACTACGCACGGTACATTTCTCCGTTTGTAATGTACGAATAAGTATGCTAAGCAGGCATACTTAAAAGTATACCTGCCTGTTCGTTTCTACATTTAGAGTAGCTTTTTATTATTACACGTGTTATTGCGCCGTTCTTCTCAAGTTTTTCTGGCCATTGCCAATGTGCAGAGAGAAAGAAAAATCTCGAGTTAACGCTGTAATCTGAGTGCTGTAGAGATACCAAGTGGAAATGATTGGACGTATAATTCAGAAACTTGACACATCGGTATTGATAACTCGAGAGAATTTTCATTTTACAAGTAGGATAAAAAGTGATAGCTAATCGTATGTCATTATCTAGTGCCACTTGTTGCTGAAAGCTCACTTTCAAAATATCAACTTAACATGCGAAAGAGTTGTTGAAATGGGAACTTGCTCGTGTCAGAGATATAGATCGTTTCTCGAAGGTTCAACTTTCTTGTAATGAATACTGAAGGTGACTTTAGAATGACTAAGATCTTCAAAAATGTAATGTAATATATCGACTAAGAATAGAATAGCAAGGAGTTTGTTATTCCATTGAGAAAGATTAGTCGAGGGAAAAAATGACACACTGATATTTGTTGGAAGATTTTGCGTCACATCTTGAGAGAATAGGAAAATCCATTGGTCGTCGATTGAAGAGAGGCCTCGCTGTCTTCTTAATGAAGGTGCCGTGAATAAGGCATACAGACCATCTTTCGTTTTCAATTTTCACCGAGCACCCACCATTGTCGAAATTTTTGGCAGGAAGCCTGCTGCTACGTGATGAGCCTTCCTATCTCGTTAGGATACTCTCTATCGATCTGGACTATTCTTCTAGACCTGATTAATCTCGAAAACTTGATTTTTCAATTATACCGGTGGCACTTGAACCTATTTGAAATTTGAATTCTATCAAGTAAATTGTAACAGGTTTCGAAATAGGATCTTATGACTTGAGATCTATTAATGGCAAAATTTAAATTCACAAAGAGATTTAGATTAGGTCAGTAGCTATTAATTAAGGCGGTTATTGATTACTACAGTGCAATAGTTGGAGATTGGAGGCCACTAAAGAAAAACATGATAGCTTAAATCTTTTATAAAAGAACAATTTTAAGATTAAACATCAAGTTATCTACATACAGTCAAATTGAAAGTAATGCAGCATTAATTTTAATAACATAAATAATTAATATTATTTGCTTTTTAGAACAAAAGAAGTTCTCAAACATAATATTATACTAAAATTCTTTTTTACACAAAGAAATAAGTAAACCAACAAAAATTGATTTATCATAGTTCTCCTCTGTGGTCTTCAAGGGAAACAAGGCTACCACTAGAAGATAGTCGCAAGGTGTATATTCGTTCTGAATATTTCCGCGTGGCCTGCCTCATATCTCGTTACAATTGAATCACAATGCGTCTCATTATGGTAGATCTTAACTGTACCATTTTTACAAGCCATCGGTGCACCGTATCGGTGTCAAGGACACACAGGACAACGTTAACTGCGCCCCATAATTTCTCTCTCTCTCTCTCTCTCTCTCTCTTCCTCTGACGTTCTTTTTCTCTGCCGCGAACGTTTCCTTTTTCGAATTTAAAGCATGACATCACTCGCGCCTTGCGGTAATCTCGATGCTTTTTTACACGTGTCGCGTTAGTTTGTGTTACTTTGTGCAACTTGCACAACTATATGCTACCAGGACTGGTCACGCTCGATATCTCGTGCAAAAGGTCGCCGTAAAAACGATAGATATCTTGATAACGCGAGTTGCAACTCGAAGGCGAAGTTGCCTGTTACTCCATAAATTATTAATAGCCGTTCAGTGACAATTACGCTACTAACTGGATTCACCGGCGGTTTCGCTGCGAAAATCAGGCTTGCATATATGACGTGTCTTCCCCGTGATTAACCCCTTGACACACAAATAAAACGGAGTTTGATGCGTCCGAAAAATACTATTTAAATTGGCTCAAATTCTCAAATTGGCTTAAATTCTCAACTGAACTGTTACGTGCACGCTTAGAAACAGAATGTTTTATTTCGAAATTTGCATTGCTATATAACATTCAGTCAGGTTGATACATAATGAACAATAATTAAGTAACCAATACATGTCTATTTTAGACTTTTTTACCTGTGACATAATGCATAACTCTGTTCTATTCTCATTTGAGCTGCGTATCTATTTGTTTCTCTGATCTATCATTTCAAAAAAAATCGTCGCATAGAACTTGTTTCAGAACACACAGAGGTGTTGCATTTGTTCCTAATCTTCGTAAAACAAGAGGATTGATACTGGAAGTTTCAGTAGATTGTTTTACATTTA